CCCCCCCTTCAGTTTACCGAGTTGCCTAGCAACCGGCCAGTCAATGGCATGAAGCCCCACCCCCACTCCCTTGACTTCACACCGAGCCCCGCAGCCCCATTGGCTCCCGCCTAGTCCCACCTCTCAACCCCGGTGTCGGTGTCGGGAAGGAGCCGCCAGCCCCCACCGCTGCTGGACAAGGGGGCCCACCTGTACCCCACCCGGCCCCATCCCCAGCATTTGCCTCCCCCCAAAGACACAAAGACTCTGGTACCATATAAAACCTTTTTATATCAACTCGCCCCCACCTTCCTCTGTCCCTCCCTGTCCCTGCCCGTCCCGGTGAGCGTCAGCGACCCCGGTGTCCGGGCCCCCCCCACACCACCAGAGCTGAAGCTGACTTTCAAAGCGGACGTGGCGCATGGAAAGCAGAGGAAGGTCCCCCCGCTGCTCCCCTTCGTCCTCACTGTCCGTGGGCTCCGGAAACACGCGCTGACCTGACGCGGTGGCCAGCAATGGCAGGCTGGGGTGCAGGCTGCAGGGAGAGACAGGCAGCGCCTGTCAGCATCCTGAGAGAGGATGCCTGTTCCCTCGGCATCCCCGTCCCTCCCCAGCCCGAGCCCCAAGATCTGTGGCATTAACCGACGACCTCACTCCGTTGGTGCAGTCCTTCTGGGGCAGAAAACTCAGCACTGGCTCCGGCTTCCCCTCGCGTCCGGCCCCGCTGGTGTCCCACACGGACACCGCCCCGTTGGTGCTTCCGCTCACTAAGAACTGCCCAGTCCTGGGGAGAAGAGAAGCCTGTTGACGCGGAGTCATCACCCCCGGGGGCAGGAACCCCTCACGGCCAGGGGCTGGGACCTACAGCTGGGCTCTGACATCCCCGGGGGCACTGGGACCCTGGGCAGGAAGGACTCGGTCACTCACGGGTCCAGATCGAAGTAGACGCGCTGATTGGTGGTCACCTCTCGACTCAGGGACCACAGTGGATGACCGGGCTGCCGGAGATCCCAGCACAGAAGCTCAGCATCCTGAAGACACAGACCAGGGGCCTGGAGTCCACTCCCCCTCCCGCACGAGACGTCCCTGCTTCCCCCAAGGTTTGCAGACACTCCCTTAGCTTGGCTTAGTTTTTTCCCACGTCCGACCCCGACACATCACAGACTGCATCCCCATTGCTGCCTTCTGTGCACCCTCTTTGGGATCTCAGGACGTGACCCCTACCTTGCGGGCTCCTGAGAAGAAGCGGTTGCCGTCGGGGTGAAAGCAAAGGTGAGTGACGCCTCCTTGGTGTCCTCCCAGCAAGGCAAGAGGGGAGCCGTCGTCACAGGCATACAGACCCAGGGAACGGCCGTAGGAGCCACAGGCATAGAGCGGCTGGGCTGGGCTGAAGGCTATGCAGGAGATGATGCCACTCTGGCCCTGCTTTTTTGCTAGAAAGGGACGGAACAAAGTTGGGGACAGGGCAAGGACACCGGACATTAACCAGGCCGATCAAGGGTACATCTCTGTCTCTTGTTCCACGTGCAGGGAACCAGTGCCTCCCCTGTCCCGTCTGCCTCGAGCAGGCTAAAGATCCCTGATGCTCCCCAGATCCTTCTATCCCCACAAAGGACCTAAATTTCTTCTTCAAGACTTATTTCTTCCTTCTCAAATCTGTTTCTCCTCGAAGGGATGGAAACCTAAAGGCTTATAGGAAAATGAAATC